AGGGGCCCCCCCCCCCCCCCCCCCCCCGTTTCCCCAGGCACTGACACTCTAAGGCAGTTTTTCAACTTTATTAGCCTGGGCTCCTCCCTGCCAGCCCCAGGGGCTGGTCCCTGGGCACAGTGAGCAGGATTGAGGTTAGACAGGTTTGGCCTCTGGCTCTGGCAGCTTGGGATAGCCAAGCCAAGGGAACAACAGGTGCAAAAGTCCAAATGTTGGCACTTCAGGTGTGGCCGGTACCCAGCCAGGCCACAAGGTGGACCGGCGCACCATGGTCCTCTTCGGACAAAGGGTCCACTATGGCAGCATTCCTTCCTGGTCAGGTGTTAGGAACAGTTGGTGATTCTAGCCAGGAACTGTTGTGCCCACCACTCATCCAGGTCAATAGGTACAAAGTCTGTGGGTAGAATAGATGATGGGCAGTGATGCTGTTTTCCAAACTGGACAGCACCTCTGCCCTCCAGCTGACCACAGTCCTAACCTGGACTCCTAGTATAGTACTCAATGGAAAAGGCGGGGGGGGGGGGGGGGGGACACACGACACGGACGGACAGTCTGGCCCAAAACTTCCCTCCCTAATCCCCTAGGGCTAGAACCTTGTGGAGAGGACTCTTTAGGGATGTAGGGCATGAGGAAAGACTCACTCTGCAGCCGGGGATCAGGAGTGTTCTCCACATACTGCACAGGCCGTGGGGCACTCTCATCGGCAGGGCCGCCATCCAGTTGTCGCTCTACCTGCTGCCAGGCTGTGAGGGAAGGACAGTTAGAATGAACCAGGCCCCTGATATCCCTCCCACCCCAGAATCTGGTGGTCACCTTGGACTCCAGCCCAGTTCAAGGAATGGACATGACCAGGCAGAAAGCCAAAGAACAGTCTAGCCCTTGGGCTGCTAAGAGTCAGGCTATAGTGCGGAAGGACAGGGCAGAGCCAGGTCCACACTACTGGGATTCTGCGGCCAGGGTCACACCCCCTGGTCCCTTACTACCTTCGGACACAAATCGGACGTTCTCCTCGTGGGCCAGTGTGTAGGTCTCTTGGGTTCCCTCGAGGGATGTGGGTGTGGTGAGGGGCCGCCTGCCATTCACTCGATTGAACACAAGCCTTGGCCCTGAACTGTGAGAGGGTAGGAGAGAGATACAGTTGGCACAGCCAGGTCCAGGAGCTATTCTGAAGAGTTCAAGAGCAGCCTCAGTATTTACTCAGTGCACCTGCACAGGCACAGACCCAAACTAGATCCTTCCTTAGTCACAGAGCAGTGCCCTCAGCTGCTGTGGGACAAGGCCTCTCTGCTGCAGACCCTGAGCTTTCTGCAGTTCAGCTCACACCTGTAGCCCCTGGGGCCAGGGAAGGTTGAGTGACTGCAAGTCAGAAAGAGTCCCAGCTCTCTAACCAGACCTTTGGCAGGGAACCGGAATACTCCACCTCTGCATTCCTAACTCCCCACCTACAGAGTGCTCCTGTGCACTCTTAACTCCTCACCCAGAATGCTCCTCTGCACTCCTAACTCCTCACCCACAGAGTGCTCCTCTGCACTCCCATCCAGGCAGGCTTCCAGGAGCCCGGTTTTAACCTCTGCCTGATCAGAACTCTAGTCCATCCCCACCCACCGGGCACAGATACCCCTTCCATCTAGAGATGCCCCACAGACCCAGTCACCTCAATGACACCCCCACTGTTGGAAAACAAACCAAATAAGGATGGATCAGGATTTGCCCTTCCCTCTCCCTGGCTGCCCCCAGGGAGATGAGCACAGAATGCTGGGGAGGACCCACTCCTCAAGGCAAGAAAAAAGGGGCAACTTGAATGAGATGCCCTCCCATGGCTCTGTGCTGCATTCAATATTCAGGGGTGAGGGGTGGCTGAACCCCTCCCAGCTAAGCAGGCCCAGGTCAGGGCAGGAATGTGCCATTCCAGTTTACTGGCTGGTGGCAACTGGCCAAGCCCTGTGCTCATGAAGCCTGGGGTGGAGCCATGGAGGGAATAGGGCCGCACCTACAGTAGGAGGTGGGAGCCAGAGTCCTGGGCTGCACCTGCCACTCCGCCAGGCACTCGCGGTCCCGGTAGGCCTGCTCGCCTTCCTGGGCTCAGGTGGCCCACGCCGCTCTGGGTTCCTCCTCAGGTGAGAGGGGCACTAAAATAAAGAGGAGGGTCTTGAGGGGCACAGGGTCCTGCCAGTCCCAGGGCTGGCAGGGTCTGGTGGCTACAGAAAATCTTAAATGTGCAGGTGGGAACCACAAGGAGGCAGGACTCCTCCCAGACCCATTGGGTACCTGAGGTTTTGGTGAACCAGAGGGCATGAAGGCATTCTTTTTTTTTTTTTTTTTTTGGTTTTTCGAGACAGGGTTTCTCTGTGGCTTTGGAGGCTGTCCTGTCTAGCTCTTGGCCACCAGGCTGGTCTCGAACTCACAGAGATCTGCCTGCCTCTGCCTCCTCAGTGCTGGGATTAAAGGCGTGGGCCACCAACACCCAGCTTACACTTTTTTTTTTTTTTTTTTTTTTTGGCATGAAGGCATTCTTAATGGAAATCCCCCTTTGCTTACAACCACCTCTATACCTCAAAAGGTTTCAAATGATGAAAGCTTGAGGGCTGGACAGTGATTCTTTTTGCATGAATGTTTTTGTTTTGTTGAAGCAAGGTGTAGACACGCAGAAATTGTCCTAAGTACCAGGATGCAGGTGGGTGTGTACTACCACGCCTACCTGGGGCTTACTCTGATTCTTAAAAGAAGGAAATCCCAGCCAGGGGCTGTGACTAGATCAAGGTGGTGGCCCTGACCCAGAGGGCAAGGGCTACAAACCCAAAGCTAAGCCCGGCCCCACCCCTGCTTGGAGGCAATGGTTATGTAAGACAAGGCTCTGTAGGGGAAAGGGCACAAGTCCCAGAGTGCACCTGTACCCACTCCTGGGAACAGTGACTGCAGTGCCAGGCCATAGTGCCCCACAGACCTCCTCTCATGTACTCCCTCAAGGTGACTGGTCACCCATTTTTCATACTGGGAAGAGAAACTTCTTGCCTGTGTCATGCAACAAAGGTGGTCAATCTAAGATTTAGCAGTATTTTGACTCCAATGCTCACAACTTTGACTCTGGCCCACTTCTCTTCTGCCTAGTGGTCCCTGAACATTCATTCATTGCTCCATCTACTTCTGGGGGGCAGGTAATCAGTCATATGATCTCATCTCGAGTCTCTCCCATCTGTCTCTTGCCAGGACAAAGGATGTCACATCTGACCATCATCTCGGGCAGCGCCTATACCCAACTATTTAGTGAGTTGAAAGATTTGAGATTTTGCCACATGCCAGCAGGAGGATAACCAGCGCCTCCCATGTTCCCTTCTCCTAGAGCTTGTCAGAGAGATGGTAGCTGAGGAAAGCTCCAGGGAAAACAAGAACGGGAAGGTAGTAAACACAGATTTTGAAGGGTGGCCTTGAGAAGATAAAAGATTAGATGTAGATGTATTTGTGGAATCCCTATAGGAGCTGGAAGTTACCAGTATGGGGTCAAGGAAGGAGCAACTCCCCAGAAACCTCGAGGAAGTAGGGGGGACACCTTGCCCTGTCTCCTCAGCTCCCAGAGCCTAGAAGTACTTGAAATCACTGTCCCTCACGCTTCAGGTGCTTTAACTGGCCACTGATGGGTGACTCGAGGCCTCCACATCAGTCTAACTTCCTATTTAGAGTAAATAGCCAGTGTGGTGTCCCTTGCAACTTATGGAGTTCTGGAGACTGTCCTCCTCATGGATATCACCCTCAATATTGCCACAAACCTGTCCTTGCTGTCCCCCAACAATGAGGACTTAAAAGGCTATTCCAGCTCCAGACTCCCTGTCTGGTTGACCACTTTGTGGTTACACACCTGCACCATAGAGTCCTCCCAGAGACATAAGGGCAACGGGGACATAAACTGATATCATCAGGAAGCCCCCTAGGAACTGCTCATCCAGAATGTAGCAGAGTTGCCAACATGCCTCTGTAGCAGGAAGCCCTCAATTCTGCCAGAATGTCAAACACAGTCCCACACAGGTGTCTCCTACCTATGGCATCTGAAGCCCAGTAGCTGAGAGATGGGGTAGACTTCACCACACCGACTCTCCAGCTGAGGCTAGTCTAACTCTTGGCCTCCTTACAGATTAGCCTCAACTTGTGCCCCAACTGAGAGCCTAGGGCCCTTAGCTGGTCACATGCCACCTATACCAGCATCTTGAGCCCAAAAGCCTACATGCCTGCAGCGATCAGGAGCAAAGTCTATTGTCACAGGAAACAGTAAATTGAGCCAAAGAAGTATAAGGTTCAGCCTTGAAGGGGTGGGACCATTTCCAGGTCACAGTAGCTGAAATCCAAAGTAGTCTGGCCTGAGCTTCCCTGGGGCCTTGGACACACTGCTAGTTCTGAAAGTGAGGAAACTGTTGGGTCTGACAGGCCCTGACACTGGCTGGGGAGGAGGGCTCCAGTGCCCCAGGGTGTCAGTGAAGGGCAGGGACCTGATAAGGCCAGCGGGGAACACGTGCGCTTTTTCTGCAAGGACAGGGCCTGAAGACCTTGAGGGCCAGCGCCTTGGGCAACTTTCCCCAACTTTGACCTCGACCGCTTCTCAATGGGTTCAAGTTAGCGGCCCACGGTCGCCAGGTCCCTCGGTCTTGGGTACCTGAGGTCCTTGACAGGCAGGTGCGGTCGGAAG